GTAGCAACTTCTCTTGGGTCTGTGTGTTGGCGCTGTCGGTGTGTAGGTGGTGGTATACTTTTTTCGTTTTTCTGGTTATGATCTCCTCTGGTTGTAATCTTGTAATTTTTTCTTGCTCTATCGATAGAACTTCGCTGATAAGCGAGCGTCGGTATTGGCTTTTTGATAGAGGAAAAGAAGTATGCTGAAAAGGTCCACGTATATGCGTTACTTTGGTAGTAAAGGAATATGCGTGAGAGGACTAGTCGTTCTAAAAGAAAAAGAAAACCTTAATGGTAGCCACCGTGCTTTAATCCCACCACATGAGGCTCATCACCTGCCGGTCGCCCTTTGGCTTGCTGCTGGTTGAAATCAGCACCCTCTCTCTCCTCTTGAGAGATGTCAAATCTGTCCAAGTGCTTCACCATAGCTACTGGTACTTTGCCTCAGATCAACTTATTGTTCAGTTGGAACATTCCCTATTTCTGCAGTGTACCAGCAATGACACTAGATGGTAGAGTCATTGTTTTCTCTCACCCAAGGTAACCAATCTCTCATCCTTCTATTTTTATGAGGGAAGCTGGCTCAGATTAAGTTTCCCTTGTTTTTGCTAACAGATAGCCATGTGACTGGTTTATAGCAAAGATTTTGCGTTTTACTTCGCAAAACTGCTCGAAGCTATTGGAATTGATATGTGGATGAAGACCCTATATGAAGATTAATTTCTTTAAATATCATAAATGCCCACTTTAAAAGAATGGATGCATGTAAATCTTTAGTACCACATTGCCTATTATAGGAGAGCGGTACCTCCGTCAAAGAGTGTTCTCCTCGCCCCTTAGAAACTTGTAGTGGTGAGAACTAGATGAATGCACATGCCAAAATTGGCCCCTCATTGTTGCAGAGACGCAACTTCATTTTGTAATTTTGTTTTGCTGCGTAATTCGGTGTTTGAAAACACATCGGACTTTCCGGTGCATGGAATGACGTGTAGTCTGGATAGGTTAGTGTGATTTGTGCGGATTGGATTTTCTAGTGTGTGGAACGACATCTAGTTAGGATAGTTTAGAGCAACTGTTGGTATTTCTTAAGGTCCTAGATAAATCCGCAAGCGCATGGATACATATGTAGCATTTCACCCAAGGAGTATTCCAAGGGTATCACATTTATCTTTTCACAGGAAAAGCGGCGGTGTAAAAAAATAAGTTCATGCATTCCTTAATCAAGCTATAATTACTTTTCTAAATAGGGGTTAATTGATAGTATGGATAAGGGTAGTGTGATACATAGGAGATTCATCTCTAAAAATGATACACTAGGTAGTGGAGAAGAACTAAAGAGATCTATGGTTTAAATGTACTTTTGTATTTATAATGTATAGTTTACACTTAATACATACATGCTTAGAAGGTTAGGACTTAGTTCTAGGCACCTAGGTACTACCGAGAGACCACTCCTTGTTGGTTTGCCAGCGTGGTTATGGCATTTTACGAACTCTTACATCATACCCAGATGTGGAGGAACACAAAGGACGGACATGTTTGTCACCACCTCTCATCTACCTCACTTTCCGTGGGACATACCCGCATCCAACAACATTTTGCTGACCTAAGCACCATGCTTATGTTACTAAATAATGACACTAATTCCCCTGGCACTCCCACCCTTCGGATGGACAAGTTAGAACTAGTGCAACCCGTTAAGGTCACTGGACCATTACCATAGCATAGATCGACTAATCTAATCAAGTGAATCATATAAATGAAGTATAATCTATTCATAGAGCATATAACTAATGAATTAGCATATCAACTATGAACACAATAGAATAAAGAAGATAATTCTATTAAAGCAACTATAGTCTTACAAGAAAGGTGAAGTACCAAAGACATACCGGAATCTCCAAGAAGACTATAGGCTCAAAGATTACTCATAACCTAACTCCACTGCTACTAGAGAGAATGCAAGGTATGGAGTGAGAGATTTACACCTTGAGTGTGTGCTTTGAGAGTGAAGAGGTGATCTCTGTTTATAGCTGGCTTATGATGGTTGAGGAGGTCGTTAACTCCACAACCGCCATCAGGAGCCAACAAGGGATCACCACGTAGAAGGGAGGAAATGGGGGCACCACGATTGGTTCAGCCGAACCAGGGTTCGAATGTACCAGACCCAACGCCAATTGGCACCGCCTTTGGTGAGTGGCTAACAGGTGGGCTCCTTGGTTTGTTCCTGGTGGTTAGGCCCAACTTTAGGTCAGTTTGATCTGACTTGTGAGCCCCTCAATACGTGTGTTCGCTAGAGGTGTGTTTCTTTGCATGCCGGCTCAATTCTCCTTCACTTTAGTGTATAATCCCTGCATCCATAGTATTTCTACAATATAAGTGGAACTACATTATTTGTAAATGATATATATGTAAGAAATGTTAGTTCTCCCTTTGTTTATTGTGATAGTTGGTGGTCGAAATTTGTATTTAACGGTTATCAACATCCACTTATGCAAAGAAACGTATTTTCGAGATCATGTAGATGTCCTATTATCTCTATAGATACGGAGTTGCTGCCTGCACGTAGCACACACAAAAAACAATCAGGGTTTGCCACTTTCTCTATACCGCGCCACCAGGAGAGAAAGTCTCTGGAACCATTGCCTTTGATGACTTACAGTAGGAAAAAGGCACCAATATGGTTTCTTGGAAGCGCTCTATGTGACTGCTAGCTGGTTTGCCCCTTCAAGCTGATCCTCTTCCACAATCGAAACAGAACCATCGGTAAATCTCAATCATGTTTCGTATGTTTGATTTGTTATTCGTAGCTATCTTGTATACAAGTCCAGATCAACTGACTTGGTTCAGCTAGTTTACCTCTTTTAACCTCATGATTTATTTATGGAATAAATTAAATCTACATGCAATTATGTTTTCAATAGTCCAAAAACCTTACTATAGGCACTATGGTTTTACTAGAGCTTAATTTGCCGATGCACTAAAGCCGCATAAATTCACTGATATGCACTTCACGAGATGGCACATAAGGGTTACTCATTGGTTGATGGCTATGAAATGCTTTTGGGTTAGTACTAGCAACCAGAAGAAATTTGAGGAAGTCACTACTATCTTCGTGGGATGTATTCTTAGCATTCATTGCAATTGTTTGGTTGGGGTGTATATGTACATGACCGAAACAAAGGAGTTGCGGGATGTAATGAATATCAAATTCGGTGCTATTGATGCTAGTAATGATCTGTATGTCTTAGCGCAATTTCATGATATCAGGATGGTTGACAACCATTCTGTTATCGAGTAGGCTCGTGACATATAGACCATATATGGTTGCTAAGGAATTTGAATACCTTAAGTGTGTATTATCGGACAAATTTAGGTCCGTCATTTCATTTCTACTACTGTGCCTGGCTCAATGGAGCTGAGTGGCCAGCCGTGCTATGGAAGGGGGTTGGCTGGATTACTCTGGCCTGTTGGACCAGGTAATTAGGTCACTCGGGCTGTGGAGGCCGGCTGAACCATGTCTCGGTCCGGTTGATGTAATGCCTACCTAGAATTAGCTCTAAGCAGCCGAAATTCTCTTTCTTTAACATGCATGTTCCTACAAAATGTATTGGGGACATCGAAACTTGTGGAACCTATCTATTATTTGCATTTTTATTAGAATATTACTGGTATATTTATGGTTTAAAGACTGCCAATAGTTGGTGACTGGTGGTGGCCAGCAGAAGCAGACAGAGCTCAAACACGGATGCGATGGTAAGCAATTTTTGTAGCCTTAAGATGTGGGTGGAAACTCGTAGGACTTACTTATGGTATTGCGAGGTTGGGTCCATTCTTTGTACAGTAACATTTCCACACGAAGCTGGCATAAAAAAGTGCATTAGAAAATTATTACTGCAAACAGTTTAATACATGCAAAATAAAAATCTTGAAATATAAACACACTTCTATAGTATGTAAGGAGGCTACTTAAAAAAATATATTTGTTTGGAACATCTAATAGATCAATCAATTGTAACCTTTTGTAGGTCTTGAACGACATTTTGAGTATTTTTTTAAAAGTATCCGTTCCAATAGCATATTATAGAAAAAAACAGATAAAGTCAATGATGCATTATAGAGGGAGACAAAGCTAATGGCAAATCGTTGAACTAGAGTAAACTCGGTGGCATAGACAAGGTTTTCTCAATAGTTTAATGCAGGTGATTGTCCCAAGGAACCGCCTACACTAATAACAGTTTAGTGCAAGCTACTCCCTATGAGAAGAATATATCAAAATATTTTCGCCACATTCATTGATAATATATTAGTGCCTAAACTTTAAAATTTTAAAAATTGCTCTATGTCCTATTGAAGTGAACAAAGTATGGTTAGATCAATATTTCCCTATAGAAATATTTTTCGGATGGTTCTTTGCCAATGTCAAGTTGTGAAAGAAGGAAGACCAAAAGATTTGAAAACTGACATTAGTAGAAAAACATATCTCAAATGTACCTCAACAGCCAGCTAGACAAAGAATGAAACGTTGATGTGTCCATTTCCATAAGCCCAACTGAACACAAAACTAAATACGGGATACAATCACCTTAGGTCCTTCTCCATGGGTTTCAACTAAAGAGAGTGGCATGTTATAGTTGAGAATATATCATGAAATTAAATTGACAACATGAGAGAAAGAAAGGGTTCAAAACAATATAATTTCATAAGTATAGTTAAGAAAGAATGCCATGGAACTATGCGATTTAGCATGAAACATTTTGAAAACCCATGTTTAATTGGAAGTGCAATACAATTGATATCACAATAGATGTTGGGATAACACACTTGCTATTCTTAGCTGTGCTATTGAAAGTACAATTTAAGTAGCATATGACACTTGAAATATTTAGCTAATATAAAAAGTAGGAGTTACTTCCCCTCCAATACTAGGCCAAATCATCCGGACTAATCTGGACCGTCCATCCGTGCGCAAGTTTTCTCCACCGCACGATTTCACAGCCGAGGATTCCACGCGCGAAGACAGCGCTCCTTCTCCACCCGCGGCCGCGGAGACCGCGCGCCTCTCTTCCTCGCTCACTACCCCCCGCGTCCTCGCAGGAGCGACACCCCACTGCCGCCGCTCCTCCGCGTCCTTGCCGGACCCGCCGCGGCCGTCCTCCTCGCTCGATCCTCCTGCTCCCCACTGCCGCCGCTATGCCGCGTCCTAGCCGGAGCCGCCGCGGCCGTCCTCCTTCTTCCCCACCGCCACGCCCCGCTGCCGGCGCTACGCCGCGTCCTCACCGGAGACGCGGCCAGATCGTGCTTCTCCCACTCGGATCAGCCGCCGGAGCCGACTTCGGCCCCTTCTCCGCTGCCGGAACCGACATCGACCTCAGCCCGCGGCCGTCCTTCTTCTTCCCCACCGCGGCGGTTGTCCTCCTCACGGGCTTCTCCTCCGCCCCGCTGCCGGCGCTACGCCGCGTCCTCGCCGGAGCCGCCTCCGTATCGTGCTTCTCCCACTCGGATCAGCCGCCGGAGCCACCGCCGGAGCCGACTTCGGCCCCTTCTCCGCTGCCGGAACCGAACTCGACCTCGGCCTCCGACGGCGCCGGGGTGGTCTGCCCTTCCGCCAGACCCACTGCCTCACCCATATCATCGTCGATCTCGGCTCGCCGGATTCCTTCGCTACTGTGCAACCATGACTCCGGATTGGCCTCTTCCGTTTACCACGCTCCTCCTCCGCCTCGCTCAACACCCATGGATCTCCTTTCAGTGATGCAGGTACAAATACCTTCCTCCTTCCCTCCCAAATTCCTTGATAATCACTACATCGATTACCACCAGCTGTTGATTCTGATTGCTCTGGTGATTTTGTGCACGAATTAGTGTTTTTTTTATATCCGATGCTTGTGTCAAAATGATGTGTGCAGTCACAAAGCATGGAGGGAACTGACGCCTCTTGTCACCACTCACCAACAACAGCAGCAGGAGAAGCGTTGGTCCAACAATCAGGAGGGCAGACAAAAAAGGTTCGTTAGCTCTAATCCAAGAACACAGCTCCTCAATGCACAGCTTTTCTCTATATGTGAAGACCCTTACTTCTGAAGACAACAGGTTTCTGTACTTTCACCTGTTCATCTAGCGATTCCAAAATGTGGCAGTGGCAATGCGGTTTGCCTTTATTTGGTTTGTTTTGTTGTGCTCCACGATTATCAGTTCAGAATTTCAGATAAATGAAGGTTGGTTGGTTAGCAAGCAGGAAATTCACTGCTAATCTGTTATTTGTCAAAATGTGACAAGCATACTGATCTCTTTGTTTTGTAGAGTAGTGCTGACTGCACGCTAAGGAACCATCAACCCACCTTATACGATTTTAATGGAAATTTATACATTTATAGCTTCTAATGCATTAAGTTCATTTATCTGCACACTTTGTCCTCGGAAGTCATATATGTAAATTCACCTAAAGTCTGAATCATCTTTGTTGATAGGCACCGTCAACTTCCAATCAAGAGGATTGCCATTTAGTTGCAAAGATCATTGTGACACAATTATGTCCGTGGATTCTGTTTTGGCCTGTCTTGCTTCTGAAGCACTTGATTTGGAGAAAAAGGTATAAGTTCCTTGTTTTTTTTTGCCTTTTTGAAGAATTCCCTTCAATATTTTATGCTTTCTGCTTAGAATTTTGTTGGATCATGTAGTGCCACATAATTCATCGCAACTCCAGTTTATCCCTTCTATATAATTTATTTTTGATGCATTTTGATCTGCAATTGGCGGATGCAGCTACCCTGCTGTCTAGCTTCATGTTAGGACATAAAAGACTGGTTTTATGCACATAGTTCTTCTTGAAATCACACTATGATTTTCCGAACTTTATGTGTGCTTAAACATTCTCTCAGAGTATGTTACTGGACTCCAATGACGTAGCTGCTGTCTGCTGATGTTCATGCTCCATAGTCCTCTGGGCACTATTGTTGGCAGATGCACTTCTGTCCTCTCCAGACAAGAATCAGTATCAGACTTATCTGCAATTCTGCATGTTAATGTGTTACTATTATTTTGTGTGTCAACATGATGCCAATGTTTATCAGTGTAAACTCAGCTAACTTCCCTCTCCCTGTTTTTTTCGAGATAAAGGCAGTCCTCATGGATTAACTAGCATCATAAATGAGTACTTCCCTCTCCTTGAGCTAATACCATGACGCAAGAATGGCTTGGTCTCTTCCTCTCTGCTAGGTACACCAGATATCCGATGAAATGCCTTTTATGGTAAAATTTGGTGATGGATTTCTAGATTCTTCGCACTATTATGCTGTGAATATTGAATGCTCTTCTTTGCACATTAAGTTGTGTTTAGCTTAAGTAAATAATGGTAGCAATTTCCAAAATATGTGTAATTAAGAATGTCTTTTGCAGTGTAGAAACCAATGGGAGCTCTATAAAAATCTGCAGCGTAGTAACCTGCACTTTGCTACCAGTAGAAATCAGTCGGAATCAAAACGAAGGCAGAGGACCAGCACTTTGGGCAATTAGAGACTTCATGACAGTAAATTTTAATTTCAAGCTGATTAATTCCATATCGTAGTAACCTGCTGTTTTTTTCTCAAAAAAAATTCCTGGCTACACTTGGGAAACTGAAATGGAGGGAAATCATCCATGTTTGGAAGCTAAACTGCCATTATTTGCTTATGGAAAGTTGGAAACCAATGACTGAATATTCTATTATCTCAACGGACATCACCAGCAATTGCAAAGCTTTGGAATGCAACAGCTTGAGAGGTACAGTGTTAATTATCTTTCTAATGCTAAACAGTGTATTGCTGTACTAGATGCTAGGTATTTGGTTCTTGATCTGTTTGGAAAATTTTCACATGTACATGAAACAAATGTCATTCAATATTCATATAGCTACCTACTTTGCTTTCCAAGGGAGATGAAAAAAGGGAAGCAGAGGAAAGAAGGAATATGCTTCATGCATGTGACTCCTGTTGTTTATCTGATTATTTGTATTCTATTTTATCCAATGATTATATGTTTGTTAAAATGCTTTGACTGGATGGAGCGTTTATAATCTCCTGATCATTTGTTTGCTAAAATGCTTCATATTTATCATTAATATATTTTCTATTAATATGATTAGCTTCCCTGCAAATGTAAGCCTGTAAGGATATTACTGAGATGATTTAAGTGGAAAAATCCCTAATCATTTGTTAGAATTCTTTTTCATTCTGATGTTTCAATATTGGTTGCAGCTGGTTTTGCATATATTAAATGAGAAATTGACCTTTCTACATGTTTACTATATTCGAGACACGCCATTCATTTTTATATCATTGTTAAATTAAATTTGATTCATGGTATAGAAATTCATGATTTCAGGTTGTTTACCTGGGATAACCAAAGGTTCTTTTTGTTTGTCATAGTCGGTCTCATTTTTGTACCCATGTCAACGATATAATAAAATCTTGCTTGTGAATCTATTCTCTCGATGCTTAAATATATGTTTGCTCTGGAAATAGTCATATTATATATTTTTTTAAAAAATCCATATTGGGTTTAAGAAGATGTTAAGCATGGCCATAGACTGCCATCTATGGGGGTATGGCTTAAATTGACCTCAAATGTTACCTCTAATCATTTTCATCAGTTCTAACCAATTACTATGAAGTTTCTCTAATAGTTGAAGCTGCACACTTTGGTGCTTGGATGGAACATCAAAGCTCCAAGATGTGTTGGTTGGGTCGATAGCCCTTGTGTCCTAGGGAGGTCGTTTTGTTTGTTTTTTTCCTTCTTTTTCATTTAAGAGTTAGGGTGTGTTAATGAAATGATACACTTATCTTCGGCGTGTTCTAACAAAAAGTATATATATCAGAGTATATATGCTGTGGGGGTTCATATACAACATGTCTTCACATTGGCATGCTTATAAGCTAATAACAATATGTCTATTTCTAACTATCTGCACCACTAATTTGTTTAATCCATACCAATTGTTAATTTGTTTAATCCACACCAATTGTTTACATCACTGATTTTGGTATGTCATAAATTTTTATATTACTATGGATGTCCTTTATATTTTGATGTTATTGTATGCTTGGCCTTTTAATGTGGCACTAAGGGGTGGAAAACGTGCTTTGCATGTGCACGATGTTTTTTAATGATCTCTATAAAAATATGCTTTGCACTCATATGGAGCTTTGGAATTTCTGTTAATATAGGCGGATGGTGCATTGCATCTTATATTGTCACTCTAGGAATAGACGTTGCAAGTTTTATAGAGATCATTCAAATTATCATCCCACTATGGTCTATGGAGTGCTGCATAAAAAAGTATCATTTAATGTTCTATTTTGTGTATATAATGTCAAAACGTGCCTTGCACGTGCACGATAACTAGTTATATTTTAAGTAGGAAAATCTGCCAGATCCGAAGTGGCTTTAATAACATATCACATAAGGATAAGATATATGTATGCTCTGATGTGCTATTAAAACTATATCTCAGCATATAATCTACCAGATTCTGTTAGAGTAAAATCCTCAAGATATGAAAGTAAATAATCGTTAAACTCTTCCATATATAACATCTACTATGTTCTACGTATATATATGTGAACCATATATAACATCTACACCATATATAAGGTGTTCAAGAAAAGGTTCCTTTAGTTTTTAGCTTCAATTCTAGATATACTATAAGTTTTGTCCCTTATAAACCATGATTTGTGGAAGTAGTTTATTTGTTCTAATATAAAATTTCTTAGAAAAATATTTTATTTATGCATAAAGTTATTTAGTATAATGATTCTAAGACTTGCAAGGGTCCATTGATTAACAGTAAGGCATGCATGCATAAGCCTGCCTGTATGTAGTCACGAAGTTATGTGACTTTAGTATGGCGGTGATTCTAGCATGATGGAATGGTAAGAACTGTCACTGCGGAAGTCATTGATGCAGATATAGTCAGCAGCGGTGAAGACAGGGTACTGTTGTCGCAAACAGCAGTGATGGATGAGAAATATGCTGATGGAGGCAGCTAGCAAGTCGAAGATCGTCACTGCCAGTGGCAATCCTAGGACAGCATGAGAATGATGTTGACTGTGGTGATGAGCAGGTGAGGATGATACCGGCGGCAGCGACGAGTTCGAGGTCACCGCCAGCGGCCGTCCGCAGCGCGGGAGCAAGAATACAAAGACGTCTTAAACGGCAATCATGATGGTCATGACTCACGCGAGCAAGGGTGAGGACTCAAGCATGACACTACCACGTAACATCAAATAGATGCCTGCATTATAGATGCCGGAGTATGTAAACCGGTACCTATATTACTTTTCCCGCCCACGTGTCCGTTCACGTGCCAAAATCCAAAGAACCGGTACCTATTACTGGTGTCAGAGAAAGATGTCGGTTTTTATTGAAAATCTGGTACCTTTTAGTACCCATTCCATCGGAGTAGTTGGCATGGGGCCCATCTAAAAACCCGCATCTTTGTGGTAAAAGGAATATATGTCAGTTCATAGTCAAGAACCGACAACTATATGTATATTATAGGTGTAAACGAGTCGAGCCGAGCCGACGGAGAGCCGTTTTTTTCTTTTAGCGCCGAGATAACACCACGTGGGATCCCGTCTCTCCTCCCGTCTCCGCCTTATCCACTCACCCGTTTATCTCTCCCTCTCCCCCCCATCCTCTCTTCTGACTCACGGTAACATAGGAGGCGGCAACTCCTGCGGGCCGGATCCGGTAGAAGCGCCGGTGGCCCAGTTGCGGCGCCCTCCCTCCGCTAGATCTGGAGGGAGGGCAGATGGTGGCCAGGCGACAGCTGATCCTCGGGCAACGGCAGTAGCGGTGGCAAACTGGCAAATCTACGAGCGACGGCAGCGACGGATACTCAGGCAACAGAGGGAGTGTAGGAGGCGGCGGTGCCCTCCCTCTGCCAGATCTGGAGGGAGGGCAGGTGGTGGGAAGGAACACTTCCGCGGGCGGATCCAGCGGTGGCGATGGCGTCGGCTTCTCCCGCGGCGGATCTGGCAGATGGCGAAGGTGAGCAGCGGTGGAGTTGGCCTTCTCTCTTTCCGCGTTGGTCTTATTCTTCAATGTTTGTTGATCTGTGACTGATGTTGGTTGATTCGGGTGTTCGTTGTTTTATGATGTTGTGGATTAATATTTTGGGGCAATGCGGGGTGGATGCCCTCGATGCATCGGCTCGATTTGAGCTGGTGCATCCAGCCTTTTTTTTGGCTCGCGTATATCTCAAAGGTGCCGGTTTTGAAAACTACAAACCGGCATCTATTACACATATAGATGCCGGTTTTGAAACCGACACCAATGACCAAAGTCATCAGTGCCACCTCCATGGTGCCGGTTGGGACTAACGGCATCTAAAGAGGGTTCCTAACCGGCACCAAAGTGCTTTTCTATAGTAGTGTGATATCGGCGGCAGTGGCGAGTACAACGACGAGGTCGGCAAAGCGTCATTGATGCCAGCAGCAGTGACAAGCTCCTACACGTCACCAGCGGCAGCCACCAAGCCAACGTTATTAGAAGTACAAATGAGCTTGATTGTGCCGCCAAGCTCGAGCACATCCTCGGCGGCAGCCAAGGAGATGGTGTTAGGGGGTGAATGCATGATGCCAGTGGTGGTGTCGACCTCGAGTACAGTGTTGGCAGCACTGGAGAATGATGCCATCGGATTGTTGATTATCTATTCCGTGGAGTAATCATTTGCCTCGCTGTAGAGGTACGGATTTGTGTAATTGTGCATCAACCAACACATTGGCACTCAAGGTAGTATCGCCCTGTTGGTCTCCACAAGTACTGGCTAACGATCATCGTGGTACGAGATGGAGTCGGCCTTCTCATCATTACAACAAACTCTTAGGATTAGGTGGTTTTAGGGAATGTTAGGACGTAGCATAACCTACGAGCGACGGGGTAACACTCCAGGTAAACGTGGCCATATTTTATATGCACGATATGATAGGGGTTCAAACCAATTCTGATGAGAGTGCCTCGATTCTATTGGGAATGCCCCCGAACATAGCGGGCATGAATTGGTTCGTGAGTCGCACATCATTGGATAGCTTCATTGGGCGTCTCTCCCATTACTACCCTCAGTTAGTTATGCTTAATTTGAAATTTAGTCCAATAGTCTATCCCATTACTGCCCTCAGTTAGTTATGCTTAATCTGAAATTAATCCAATAGAGGTAGAGGTCGGTAGCAATGTCGAGCTCAGACATGTCATCAGAAAATGCATGTTGAGTCCGGCAGGCTATAGCTCACCCTGCTCGAGCATGTTATCAACAGTAGCCACCTGAAGATGAAGCCGGCGCCATATGGGCGAGGCCGGCGGTGGCACCAAGCTCGAGTACGTCTTTGGTGGCAATCACTTGAAGACAATGTCGGTGAATGTACGGATGACGCTGCCAACAGTGATCAGCTCGATCGTGTCAGCATCAGCACCATCTACTTATCCACCCACCCAGTTCAGCACGAACGGACGAAGCACATCGAGATCAATCTTCACTTCGTCCGTGAGTCCATGACCATGTCACATTGGGGAGGTCCATGTCCTATACGTTCCAACTTTGTCCCAATACGCCGACATATTCACGAAGAGTCTCCCTACTACTACTACTGTATTTACAAAGTTCCAGTCCAGTCTCAATGCCTTTCCCGCTGCTGTGATTGCGGGGGTTGTCAGATATTTTCGCGTAAAATCTAAACCGAGAGGCTTATCGCTTTAGTCGTATCACGCGACGCGCCTCATAGCCGTCTGATCGCGCATGTCATCCTGACGTCATCCGCGTGGCCACGCTCTAATGGCGCAATGAGAAGGATCAACATAGTGCGTGCCTTTTTTTAATAGATATGTATGTCTTTTTCCTCTTCAAATAAAGTTTTCTCTCAAATTACTTATCCGATTTATAATTTGATTACACCATTATATTCGTTACAATTAAATCTTCACAACAAGATCTTACATGATTATATTATGATGAAAAAATATTTATATTTGTAAATTATATACGTAAGTTACTTTTATCATATATATAAGTTACTTTTAGATTTGACTAAATTACTTCTTAGACATATAAAAGTAAATTCAATAAAGTCTAAAAGTAATTTACATATATTATAAAAGTAACTTAAAACAAAACGGAAGTAACTTTGTCACGAAATTAGAAGTAAATTCGTCGTAGGGATAAAAATATGACTTTATCTAGAAATTAAATTTAATCAGCACAGATCAACACACGAAAGTTTAATAATTTTTAAAAGTAACTTCAATGTTAATTGGAAGTAACTTTTGCATGGTTCAGAAGTAACTCTCTATAAATCTGTTTAATCACCGATTGTTTTTTTTCTTTTCATTTTTGTTTTTCATGTAGAATGAGAAAAGAAGATAAAACCTTTTATGGATTGTAAATCACATTGATGGAATAACTAATAAGAATTAACTATGTATAAGATGTAATAGTTACTTCCTGATAATATGGAAGTTACTTTCTAACATGTAATAAATTACTTTTAAATTAATAAAATGTTTGAATATATTCAATACGAATCTTATTTTGTCACATATTTTGAGTGGAGTACAATGATGCAAATAGATCTTAAAAACAATATTTTGTCACATACTATTGTATTTTTCAAGTTGAAAGGAGACAGTACTACCAGCTATCACTAGATGTGTAGTTACGTCCGATGAAAAAAAGGCATGTATTAAAGTTACTTTCTTTTTGTTATAAGTTACTTATATAATACATGTAAATTACTTTTAGGCTTTATTAAATTTACTTTTATGTCTAAGAAGTAATTTAGTGAAATTTAAAAGTAATTTAAATATATTATAAAAGTAATTTATAATTTTTCATCAAAATATAATCATGTGAGATCTTGTTATAAAGATTTAATTGTTACGAACACAATGGTGTAATCGGATTGTAAATCGGATGAGTAGCTTAAGAGAAAATTTTATTTAAAGTATATGTAGACAAAATCTCTCATAGATGGAGTGGTAGCTACCACTAGCTGTGTAGTCACGTCCGTATTTTCGGGCACTGCCGGGCTTCCCTGCCCATTGCCATGCGCCACTGTAGCGCGTCCGAAACGCCACAATTGGTGTTGCTGTTGCGATCCCAAACCCACCGCCTCGCCGATCTCCTCCCAGTTTCTATTAATCGGTTACAAAGATAAATAAGACAGAGGCTAGCTATATATTGTAATCCCTACTTCCATCAATATTCATGTGTTGATCAGTCCGCTAACAAGTTCATTTCTTCTACTGTGCCTAAATCAATGGAGCTGAGGGTGCCATAGCCTGCACTATAGCTTAGTGCAAGCTGTTCCCTATGATAACTGAGTACGGAAAGCTTTTTGCCACATTCTTTGATAATGCCTAAACTTTGAAAATTGTTTAAAAGAACCGCACTACGCCTGATTGAAGTGAACAAAATCAAGGTTTGATAAATTGAGCACTAAACTAACCCGAGGTACAAGTACAATTCACGTTAGGTCCTTCTCCACGGGTTTCTACTAAAAAGAGTGGAATATTGTAGTTGAGAAAATATCATGAAATCAAATTGTTTTTGCATGTGTTTGTATAGAAATTATATTTTAATGAGGACAATCTCCCAGATCAGTAGTGGCATTAATAGCAGATCACACAAGGATCCGATATAAATGCATGCTTTGATGTGCTATTAAAACTATTTTCAGGACAATCCACCAGATTCTTTTAGAGTAAAATCTCCAAGATATGAAAGTAAATAGTCATTAAATTCATCCATACATATCTGTTCTATATATATATGTGAACCATGGTTCTTGGAGTGCAGACTCATCCTCATTCAACTAGTTAGTTACAGCAAGAAAAGTAAAGCATAGTAAGTCATCTTTCGCAATGGGGAAATGTTTAAGGCCGACCCACCAAGAAGTCATGTTGTTTTGCTTGGTTCTTCTGCTGTGCTCTGCCATTCCTGCACAAACAAGAGGTAATTTAAAAAATAGGTTCCTTTTTATGTTATTTGGCACCATTTTCATCATTCTATTTGCACTGGCATGATAAACATACTACTTCTTGCAGATATAGGTCAAACCACAAATGAGATCCAAAAAGATATGTCGACCGGTGTGAAAAACAAGAATAGCTTTGGAGAACTTTATTATAAACCTGATCACTGTGTTCAAACCCCCGGTGGGTTCTATTGCTGTGCACTGGACCAGCTGTGCTATCCAACTATTGGGCTGTGCATACCAGAATGCACATCATCAAAGGTGCGCAGAGGATCATGATGAGCAAGTGATTAATTACGAATAATCATGTACTCCACCCAGCAGTTGGGATTAGTTATGGATGCCTGATTTCTATGTTCAAAACGATATGCAGTTTCTTCAAATATCTTGAGTATGAGACAGTCTCTTGGTGCCTATGATCCGGAAATGTGTCTTGGACCAACCATAATTTCAAACATAAAAAAAAAACTTGATTGGACAAAAAAAACCCAGCAACTTATCGTTTATATAAGTGTAACCCACTAGACGTATTAATTAGTATAAGGCAGGTTCAATGTTTTTACACATCATCAAAATGATGTTAGCTGTTGGAACGACATGTATCTCTGATGTGAACCGTTAATCAGATGAGTGTTCTTCTCCACCGTTTATGTATTCCATGCCCGTATTGTGGCCTCGTTTGGCTGCCCGTGTATATTATACATGTGTGAATAGTTCCACCTGTGTATTGAGTGAATCCACACCACCCACCCAATACACAGCATGATTCAATACACAGGGTGGGCTGGTGGTTCGACCGGTGATGCCCAGGTTTGACTCCACAGCAAGTACGTAGTGCTAGCTAAGCTAGTGGTATGCATGGAGATTTGGGCAGAGTTAGGTTTACCTTTTACCTTTTAGGTCTCGTTTGTTAAGTAAAAAGTTAATATAAAAAATACTGAAAAACCTAAGAAATAAAATACCAGAATAGAAAATCCAACATGTATATCCATCTGTAACTCTAAAAATCCTGCTTTAAAAATTAAAAAAAAAACACAAGAGTAGAATTTCACATAGAAAATAGAGAAATTAACATGCATGCACATGGATGAACATATTACTGATCCATGAAATATTTATAGGTGAACTAGAATAATTGATTCAACATAAACCTTCCAGGTAGAAACAGCACACACCAGACATACACATCCAAGCATATATGACAGTAATAAATAACTTTGATAGCTAAGTCTACCATAGAGGTTTAATTTGAAGTCTACTAGGTGTTTCATCTACGAATAATTTCTTTGACATGAAACATCCAAGCAAAAGACAGACAACTCCAACAGCAGCATATCTCCTTACTTTCCATTGCATCTTTTTTTCCATGCATCACCTGAAACAAAGTACAAGGCAAAAGATTAATTGGCTTCATATCTGCCGTGGCAAACTGACTGCTAGCAACACAGAGAAACTAGAGAACAGAGCTAATAAGGAAGCTTGCAAATTCCTAGGACAAGAGCACTAGGGGACTAAGAAAAGTTGGAGCAAGATGAAATTAATTGTGCATTTTACAAGCTATATCTTGATAAATAAGTAGAAATGCTTATATTTTAGAACGGATGTAATACATTTAAACAAATTCACTCTATGCATCTTCAAATTTGAATAGATAAGCTCACTCCAAGTATCAGCGTTATCATTCATTCAGCAAATTCAAATCATACTTTCAGAGCCCAGTACTGCTCACCCGGAGAGAGCAACAACAATATTTTAGAATATATGTATAAAAAGTTTACACTTCCAAAAAAACAAAAGAGCATGAATAATATGTAAGGCATAATGAACATCATTTTTAGCATAAATAGTATACCTGCATCTCAGGTGATGCTACAATGTGAAAACTACAAATGTATCATCTGCCAATCTGCACAACATTTACCCCAAAAAATAGTTTTGCTGAGCATCACTGAATTGAAGTTTTAGGTGATACAACAAACAAAATCCAACTGTTTAATATGACTAAAGTGTAGTACTAATTAATATATTCATCAGTTTCATAGAGGCAATAACACGAAAGGAGCAATACCAGATTTACGCAATTGTAATCTTCCTCCTTAACCACTTGAGTCATGTAGAGTCTTTTGCAGTCATGAAAATGGCCCAGTTTTGTGGATCTTTGAAGACATCATAAGCCAGGACCTTCTCATCATCTGACATATCTTCCATGCTGTCCACAACAGCAATGCATACTGGGATCAGGAACTCATCCTCATGCACATTACTTCTTGCCCTCTCGAAGATATGTCGCTATTGCTCTAAATATGTTAGGCTCCATGCGGAATGCAACAAGGCAATTGTTTTCATGTCCCTCAAAAATATTTCTGGGTTTTTCTTCACCGTACTAACTTAAAGTATGCTTACTCTTTTCTCTATCCCTCCATTACTAGTTAAAAGATATAGGGCAGGCAACCAGAACATAATAATCTCCTCATCCTCCTCATCTTTTCTCTTCCTAATTAGCGAATTCATACCTTCTAACTAGAAGGAATACTGAATATTTAAGATGACTGCAGTTAGCAAAAGAAAAAAGGTTTCAGCACTCTAGTTTTTAGTTTCAACACTATATATGTTCATAAATAATTAAAGCTAATTATGCATGTGTATGAACTGAGCACTCACTTTGTTTAATAGAAGTGCTATACTACTATGCTAGCATGCTGTTTTGTGCATTCAATGGTGTTAGTGTAAAATACTGTAATGTGTATTGCTTGCTATACATTGGTATATCATGCAGTGGTGGTGGTACAGTCTTAGCAGTGTGTAGAGGAGTACTACTAGCTGTAGTTTATTTCTGCTCAAAATCTCTTTGCACTAATACAAGATCAAAGCTAGTGATTCCCTACTGTGTTTTGTTCCCTTCAGGATGGCTGTACTTTGCATATCTCCAAGCATTGACATACCTCGTCTCCAATATTTCTCTTGCAGATCGTCAAACCCTAGCAGGATGGCTGTACTTTCCAGATCTTGAAGGTCCTAGCAGCAAAACAAGTGGATGAAAGAAGATGGGCAAAGAAAATGAGATGAGATGAAGGAGGAGATGGAGGAGAGGACTTTGAACCTTGATCAAGCGAGTAGGCTGCCGGGGCGACGCTGGCGATGAGGCGACAGACGACGGCGGCCGGCGAGGAGGCAGTGGATGGCTCGGAGAAGGCAGCAGCGCCGGCGGCACAGGAGGACGGCGAGGACGTGGTGGACAGCTCGGAGAAGGCGGCGGCGTCGGCGGCGCAGTAGGACGGCGAGGAGGCGGTGGACGGCTTGGAAAAAACGGCGACGGTGCAGGAGGAGTCGCGAGCTGCAGCGTGCACGCGAGAGAGTTCCAGGCCTCGGGTGAGGATTATTCTCTCACCCGTGGGTCGGCATGTATCGAGCCGCAATACACAGCAATACACGAACAGCCAAATGCACATTTGGGCCGGATGTGGGAATTGATCCAGGCGTGGGCTGCATTCCACGGAAGGGTGGGTTTGGGGCCTGTTCCACATCGAAACACAAACAGCCAAATGAGGCCTAACCCAGAGATACACTGAGGAATTGCAAGGAAACCAAGAGTTGGCCGTGATCAGCATGCACGAACAGCATGCACGAAGTCAGAAACCCAAACGTTCATTGTGCCACAACTCTAGGACTGGAGGGCTCAACATAAGGCTGGTAGCCACCAGCTGGTCGCTCTTTTGGCTTGCTGCTGGTTGAAATCAACGCACACTCTCTCACCTTGATCGATGCCAAATCTGCTCAAATGCTCCACCGTAGGTACTGGTGATTTGCCTTAGATCAACTTTATTGTTGAATTGGAAAATTCCCTGTGTCTACAGTGAATCGGCACGGACACTAGATGGCAGATTAATTGTTAGCTCTCACCTAAGGTAATCAATATCTCATCCTTCTATTTTTCTTATGGTGCAGCTAGTTCAGATTAAACTTTCCTCACTACTAGATATTCGATTATTAACCACCAAGAGTAATTAAGTGTTGGTCGTTCTCTGTGATTGCAAGCAGTCCAGAAGAGTTGGTTTGTAACGCCGACGACCACATATATATGAGGAGGCCCACGAGACATGGCAGCCCAATCACCGCCTGCTTTGCCCGTCGCCACCAGAAGGAATAAGTTCACTTTCACTCACTGCTACGAAAATCATCTTTTGTGGGGCCATTTTGGGCTTCCGCTGGCGGAAATCGCAGCCGCCAGAAAGCAAAGGCCAGTGAAAATGTCGATTTTCGCTAGCGGTTATTTACCGCCAGCCAAAATGCATCTTCGCTGGCGGCCAAGAAAGGAATGCCCGCCAGCAAAGCAAAGAGATGTATTCGCTGGCGGTAGCCTTAGGACGGCCACCAGCGAAGACATGTCTTTGCTGGCGGCGGACATAACGCAGCCACCAGCAAAGAAGTATCTCCACTTGCGTTAGCCTTAGGTCGGCCGCCAGCGAAGATAATTCTTTGCTGGCGACTCACAGTATTTTAGGCCACGTGGCACGCTAGGAAAAATGAAGTAAGGCTTCTGTGGATGGACACGTGGCCCGACAGCGAAGATATAGACCGTCCTAGTTCTGACACGTGGCCCGCCAGTGAAGATGCAATTTTTTTTAAAAAAATAAAACATTATTATATATACTATTTTTTCTTTTCTTCGTGCGCGTATTTCAGAGTCAGACGTGGTTGATATAACTAATCGAGGTATCGATAGAGTATGTTCTCTTTCGCGTATTTTAGAGCCACGCATTGAGTATATATGAAGCAGAATAATGTACATATATATAAATATTCGGAAGCACCTATATATATATATATATATATATATATATATATATATATATATATATATATATATATATACATTGACAAATTAAATTCGACCGACGACATAACATTTACAAGTATTTTGAATGAATTACGAAACCCTAGCTATATTATACGCCTGGTCCAGTTAGACAGGGATTCGTTCTCCAGTAGAGCTAAGACTCCTTCGTTGTCGAAAAACAGCCCAAGCTGATGTGCGCACTCACGGTGGATGAAGTAGCACATGTCCGCCTGAATATTCTGAATGGATGTATCATTGAGCTCTCTTGCAGACTTGGGGAATTTTGGAAGCTGCATCAGATCATGACAGAATTAAGGAAATTAACTATTCACAATAATACAAGTTAGCGACTAATTTAACAAGTGTGTATTACTTACCTCGTTGTAATTGGCACAATATTTCCCATTAACCCTTAGGAACTCACAACGGTAATATCCGCATAGTACTGTTCCCACCAGTTGCTTGTGACACTTTCAACATCAAAATAATTATAAGGTATAATAGGTGATTACATGGAAACACACAAGCATTTATGAAAATTAAGTAGTACTGTTTGGCATCCATATAAATGTACTTACCGGCCACTTATTGCGGACGGATATGCGTTCTCTTGAGTTTTTGTGTTATTCGCCTCGCTGGTAATACCTTTTAAATGCACTGTTTTGCACTTTAATTAAAATCCATAGTTTGCAGTTAATATGATTGGAACTAAACATATATTATATGCTACGTACCACCAGTTCGGGGGGAACGTAGCCAGAGTCAACTTCATTGTCGCTACCGCCCTTTCTCTTCTTTGCCGGAGAAGGATGGGGGTCACTCGGCAAGTGATACGATCCACTGCCTGGTTCACTTGAGCTAGACGACGAAGATTCCTCCACGACTACTTGCGTGCAAATATCTTCCTCCATGACTAGCTGAGTTTCCTTGCCCTTGTCACCCGTGGGTTGCTCTTGGGTGGGTTTGTCCATTGATATCGCTTGAATGTGAATTAATGTTAGTTGCGAAATGGAATCATTTTCTTATTGTAAATCCAAAAAGAAGGAAAAATTTAGATACTAATTTTGTACTACAAGTATAAATATTGTTACCAATCAATGAGATCGGCAACGACATCAATATTACAATCCACCAACCCTGACCATTTCAAACTACCTAATTAAGTTCCTTAATTATCAAAGAATGACATAATACAAAATGCATGGAGAATTATGGTGTCTAGGTCGGTTCCGTCCATGGACTACACTGACCAATCCACCATAATTCCCCATGCATTTTGTATTCTGTGATGGTTTGATAACCTAGGAACTACATTAAATCTGCGGCCAATCTATCAATTCTTCCATTTGAACTAAATTTCAAACCCTAAACCTAATTAAGTTCCTTAATTATCAAAGAATGACATAATACAAAATGCATGGAGAATTTTGGTGTCTAGGTCGGTTCCGTCCATGGACTACACTACCCAATCCACCAAAATTCCCCATGCATTTTTGTATTCTGTGATGGTTTGATAACCTCGGAACTACATTAAATCTGCGGCCAATCTATCAATTCTTCCATTTGAACTAAATTTCAAACCTGAAATCTAATTAAGTTCCTTAATTATCAAAGAATGACAGAATACAAAATGCATGGAGAATTTTGGTGTCTAGGTTGGTTCCGTCCATGGACTACACTGACCAATCCACCAAAATTCCCCATGCATTTTGTATTCTGTGATGGTTTGATAACCTAGGAACTACATTAAATCTGCGGCCAATCTATCAATTATTCCATTTGAACTAAATTTCAAACAACACATTTTGATCGCCATAGTATCAAACTAACAAATTACTCAATTTCAGTCAAACTAACAAATTTGTGCATCTAAATATTCACCCAACAGTCATCTCAATGCATCATATTCAGATCAGCATATATATATATATATATATATATATATATATATATATATATACATATATATATATATATATATACATATATATATATATATATATACATATATATATATATATACATATATATATATATATATATATATATAAATTGCAGAAACTATGCATGCTTTCAGATCAGCAATGGCTAGCAACAGCATAGGCCTGAACAAAAGAAAGTGCATTTCATTTTGGAAAAAAAGTGCAGCAGCAAAACAATTCCTTTTCTTAATATGTTGAGCACAAGATCAATTTTGATTGTACAATTTAAATCACATTTGCAACAAGAAAACAAAGGACAGTACTCATACATGCCTCTATCATCGATAAAATTCAGTGGCTGCACATCTATTTTAGTTGGTGCACAAAAAATTCAGAGGCTGCACAAACTCATACATGCCTCTATCAACACAAAAAAAAACTACATCCGCCCAAATTTTCACCACCAATTAACATTCATCAAAAATTCATCCCAATTCAGCCATCAATTCATCTCACATCACATTCATCATCCATCAATTTTCATCACATTCATCATGCATCAATTCATCTCACATCACATTCATCATGCATCAATTCATCATTTCAATTTTACAGAATGGGGAGGAGGAGCAGAGGAGGGGGTGTACCTCGGCTTCTCGGCACGGCTCACCGTGGAGTCCTGGCGCGGCGGTGACGGCGGTGGCGCGGAGGAGGAAGAGGCGGCGGAACTGGTCCCGGCGTCGATGACGAGTCCCGGTGGCGGCGGCGTCGACGACGAGGACCCGGCGGTGGCGATGACTCCCGAGGTGGAGGCGGCATCGACGACGCGGAACCGGTGGAGGAAGAGGAGGTCCCGGTGGCGGTCTTGGCGGCGGCGGCGATGACTCCCGAGGTGGAGGCGGCGTTGACGACGAGGAACCGGCGGAGCAAGAGGAGGTCCCGGCGGCGTTCTTGGCGGCGGCAGTGGGAGGAGGAGGCGGCGGCGGAGAAGAGGAGCCGGCGGACGAGTCCCGGTGGTGGCGACAACTCCCGAGGTGGAGGAAGGAGGAGCCGGGGGAGAGGTGGAGCTCGATCTGGCAGCGGCGGTGGTGGAGACGGCGGGCCGATCGAGGAGGAGGCGGCGGAGAGGAGGAGGATGCGGCGGCCGTCGGTCGGAGAGGAGCTGGATCTAGCGGCGGCGGTGGAGAGGAGGCGTTAATGGATCTAGCGGCGGCGGCGGCGGGCCGAGAAGAGGAGGAGCCGGCGGCTGCGGTGGAGGCGTGAATGGAGGAGCTGTGTCCGAATGGAGGATGGCGTGAATGGAGGAGGCGGCGGCAGTGGCGGGCGCTGTGGTTATCGCTGGAAGCGGCGCTCGAAATTTTGGCAGCCTGGCGGCACAAATTTTAGGGTTCGCGCGCCTCTGGGACTTAGGAAATTTTCAGCCGCGCGCTAGCTACTTATAGGCGAAGACATATTCGCTAGCGGAGGAACGCGCCGACTGCTAGCGAAAACATTTTCGCTTGCGGCAAGCTTATGTGGGCTGCTAGCGAAAATAGTTTTCGCTAGCGGTGGGCAAAGCCGGCCGCCAGCGAAAACCCTTTGGCCCCACATGTCATTCTCAACTGAAAAAATAATTTTATTTATTTTTACACAAATATGATTAATTTATCAAAAAAATAAAATATGATTTTTTAATGTTTGCGCCTGATATTTTTTTAATGCATGCATACAAATAAATTTATACCAAACTATTTCTTGATCCAACAATTATCATGTCACCATATTCCATATACAAAAATTCATCTCATCCATCATTGTCACGCATTATAGTACATTAAAATTCATCGATACGTCCAACATGATACATATATAATGAATTAGCATCTAACACTTTTCCCTACACCTTCATTTCTCATGTATGGCTTCGGCGATTCACCAATTGATTCTTCGACGCGTAATATCTTGTTTCGAAAATCTGTGAATAGTATCATGTTCTCATATTGATTGTATGCCTCGACATCTTCGACATCATCAACTCCCAAAATCCTTTGTTTTCCCGAAATAACTATGTCTTTCTTCAAATGAGATGGATCTGTCACATAGAAAACTTGAGCGACCCGATCGGCAAGCACCCATGGGTCATCCTTGTGGCCTACGTTGTCAAAGTCAACTATTGTCAGCCTAAAGTTGTCCACAGACACGCTGGCTGGGTGTTTCACCCATTGGCACCGAAACAGTGGAATCTGCATATTTGGCCCGTAGTCTAGTTCGCAGATTTCTTCTATGAATCCGTAGTATGTGCTCTTTTGCCCAGTTGTGTCGATTGCTTCTACTCGAACGCCACTGTTTTGGCATGCACTCCTTTTGTCTTTCGCTTTTGTGTAAAATGTGTATCCATTCAGATCGTATGCTTGCCACGAGGTATACACACTTGATGGCCCGTCAGCTAGCATTTTAATTGTTCTTTCTTCCATGGTATGGCCATCTGGTAGATCGAGGTTCTTGAACCATTCAGTAAAGTGATGCTTGTGTTTCTTCATGATCCATCTATTAGATCGACCCACATTTGTTGCTTGTAATTCATGCAGGTGTTGCTCTATGTACGGCTCCACTATTGCGAATTGCTGCAGCACAGTGAAATGAGCATCTTTCACTTTTTTGTAGTCATTGTCGTGGATTCTTTTCTTCCCTTTTGTTCCTTTCCTAGATAATCTACCTTCATGTCGAGGTACCGGTAAACCAATTGCTTTTCCATCCTTTAGGTAATCAATGCAACACTCAACGACCTCCTCGGTTGTGTATCCCTCTATCATGGATCCCTCTGGGTGAGCGCGGTTCCGTACGTAGCCTTTTAGAATGGACATGTATCGTTCGAAAGGCCACATCTGATGCAGGTATAGGGGCCCAAGTGCAATTATCTAAGGCACGATATGAACTATGAGGCGTTGAAGAAAAATATCGAACTATGAGGCATGATATGAACTATGAGGCACGATATGAACCATCATATCGAAAAATGATGGAGGGAAACACATCTCAAGCTCGCACACTGTCTGTATAGCGAAAGTCCGGAGAGGACCTAACTCTTCAGGATCAATTACTTTCTGAGATATGGAATTGAAGAAATAACAGAGCTTTGTGATGACCAGCTTTACGTGAACTGGTTCGACTGCTCTAATTGCAATGGCGAGGAATACTGTGAGCATTACATGACAGTCATGGGAATTGTAGCCTGAAAGCGACAGATCTTTCATCGACACTAGTCATTTAATGTTTGAGGAGAAGCCAGTAGGCACTCTCACCCGATGTAGGGATTTGCACAATGCCATTTTCTCCTCTCTTGTCAAGGTGTAGCACGCAGGCGGTAGGTACACTTTTCCATTATTACCTTTATCCACAGGATGAAGCTCTTTCCTTATTTGCATATCCACGAGGTCCTTACGTGATTTTAGTCCATCCTTGGTCTTAGTTAGTATGTCCAGTATAGTCCCAATGGTGCTATCGAAGACATTTTTCTCTAGGTGCATGACATCGATAGAATGGCGTATGTCTAAATCTTTCCAGTACGGAAGGTACTTAAAGAAAATGGAGTGCTTCTTGAATGGAACGCTAGGGCTTGCTGGCACTTCGGCATCATTTCTCTTCCGCTTATTTGTTTCCTTCTTTTTTACCTTCCCAAAACCAACCTTCAGATTTTTGGTCATTCTAAACACTTTATCACCCTTCCATGGTTCTGGTGCCACACCTTTCTCAACAGTACCGTCGAAATATTTTGCTTGGGAGCGGTACGAGTGATTCTTTCTTAAGAAACGCTGGTGTCGCATGTACACTAGCTTCTTCGATCCCTTAAGATACCTGTACACAGTACCATCTACACAAATAATGCAACCCGTCTTTCCCTTGATCTGTCCCAATAGGGAAAACAGTGCGGTCAAGTCGTTGACGGTGACAAAGATAATTGCATGTAGCGTGAAGTACTCCCGCAGGAATTCGTCCCAAACTCGGATCCCGTGTTCCCACAAATCGCGCATATCCTCCAGCAAAGGCTCTAGAAACACATCCATGTCATTGCTAGGTTGTCGTGGTCCTTGTACAAGGATGGTCAACAAGATATACTTCCTTTTCTAACACAGCCACGTTGGGAGGTTGTACATGGTTAGGAGTACTGGCCACATGCTGTGTGAGGTGCTCAAGTCATTGAATGGATTCATTCCATTGGTGCTCAATGCAAACCTTACGTTTCTTGGGTCCTCTGCAAACTTATGATACTTTCTGTCAAATTCCTTCCACTGTCTTGCATCTGCAGGATGTCGAATCATCCCATCTTTTTTTCGCTTTTCATGATACCAGCGCATCAATTCGGCATCCCTCGGGTTTGAGAACAAACGCTTCAAATGATCTTTCACCGGAAGGTACCACATGACAAGCTGGGGAATCTTCTTTTTGTTACTGTCTTTGCATGGATCGGACTCTTCTACATCGTCAAGGGCAACATCCAAACTCTCGGACTGGCTACGGCTTGTTTTGTATCGACTACTCTTGCATGTTGGACATCTGTCCAAATCCTCGTACTCTTTACGGAATAGGATACAGTGGTTAACACACGCGTGTATCTTTCGCACACCCAGTGACAAAGGGCATATAAGCTTCTTCGCTTCATAGGTGCTTGTTGGCAGGGAGTTGGGTTGCGGAAAAAGTTTCTTCAACAGAACCAACAAGTCGTTAAAACTACTATTGGACCAACCATTTCTGGCCTTCAATCTCATAAGCTCAAGCACCGTCCACAACAATGTGGAATCCTTCTCACAGCCCTTTGCCTCATCGTACAAAAGATCATTCGCTGCCTTTTTCAATGCATCAAAGTTATCCAACCCACGAGCGGACCCAGCAACAACCTCAGGTTCAGCATGACGCAACATCTCTTCCAAATATGCAAAATTACTAACATCTACGCTGACATTACCATCATCGGCATCATCAACTGTACTGTGCTGACCATTGCCACCAACAACATCATCATCATCAACGGGTTCTACTGCATGCACTTTTTCTTCTTCTTCTTCTTCTTCTTCTTCTTCTTCTTCTTCTTTAGCTACTACAATGACATCCTCGTCCCAGCTCAACACTTCGTCGTGTACTGTAGCCTGGTTCGGAACTTGCTTGCTTGGGATCTCTCCATGATATGACCAGTTTGTGTATCCCTCAACAAATCCATGTGTGACCAAGTGTTGCTCGATTACAGATGGATCGTTCCAACTTTTCTGATTTTTGCAATGCACGCATGGACATCTAATATCTTTGGTCTTCTTAGATGCAACATTCTTCTTAGCTGCTTTCATGAATATGTCGACTCCTTCAATGTATGACGCCCGATATCTCTCTTTATTCACCCATGCCCTGTCCGCCATCTATGTATTAATTAATTAATTGCGGAAAAAATAATACAACTTTAGTTAGTTCAAATATTTTGAACAAGATAATTAAAGCTAACCAAAAATCTGCATATATAAAACATACATCTATCCCTCGGACGAATTACCAAACTACCCTTCTTTCTCTTCTTCTCTTCCTAGCTAGCTCATTCTTTTGCAGTTAACTAATATATAAATCTGCTAAAAATAAACCTATCGAAAACTGTGAGTACCCAAAATAGGACCTCTTGTGTATAAGTGCTAGTCCAGGATCAAGCTAGCACACACAGACTCAACGATAATATCACAGCCAACATCACGAAGGAATCCTAATATTTAACAATAATAATGACTGTGTTAAGCCTTATGGCTAAAGTTTACAATTATTCTGCCACAAAGGGCCTAAGGACAATATTAAAGTAGCAGCGGAAATATGATAAATGCGTAGTAGCTCCATTCAACTTGCCACAGGCAGTCAACTGGGACTCACGACCTATTCCTCGTCTTCAGCAACAAACTCCTCAGGAAACAGCGGGAACCTTTCTTCTAGAATTGGGGGAATTGCAAGGTGAGTACATGGAATACTCAGCAAGCACACAGAAATATGCATATGCAAAGCTGACAACAAAGGCAATGGCTATTTTGTATAACACAGCAATTTGCAGTTATAATCAATTTATAAACAGGTTTAAAACAATAGTTATAAATAATGGGTATTACCAACTATCCATCCACACAGGATTCGTCCACACAGGACCACATAGCTATATTCATTAACCTGCACACAGTTCATTTCCAGTTTTCACAAACTACCCCTCATGAGATATCATTGAGCATGTCCATGACCGCGGACGCGGCTATTCGAATAGATTAATTAACACTAGGTTGTACAGCTTGACCCATAAGATACATCGTCCTTTTAATGCCTGTCACGTCCCAAAACGACTCTAAAATACATCCTCTAAATTATGCCTAGAATAATTAAAATCCGTGTGAAAGCCTCCAACAATTAAAAGGTGCAAAGTTAAAAGTCAAATAAGGCTTGGGGGATTTTTGTATATTTCCTAAAAGCCTAAAATGCGTAAATAAATTTTAGTGGAATTTTCAGAGTATAAATAATAATTATTAAGAAATAAACAAAGTTAAAATGATTTTATAAAAAGAAAAACTCTAAAAAGTCCCCTTTCCCTCCCTCTCCCTCTTGGGCCGGCTCGGCCCATCTCCCTCCCCCTCCCTCTCCTCTCCTCGCGGCCCATTCGGCCTCTCCCCGCGCGCGCGTCGCTGACGGGCGGGCCCGCCCGCCACCCTCGCTGACGGGTGGGGCCCACCTGTCATCCCCTTCCTCCCGCCGCTCCCGCCGCCTCGTCCGCGCCCTAGCGCCGCCGCCGCCGCGAATCCCGCCGCCTCCCGCCGTCTCCGCGTGCAATAAAGAGAGGGAAATCACTCCCCGTGATCCCCTCTTCCTTTCCCCCCATTTTTTCCCTCTCTCTCTCGCGTTCAAACGGGCGGATTTGCCCCCGCAAATCTCGCCGGCGCCATTGATGGCGGCCGGACCTCCCGCGCCGGTTTCCTCCCTTCCCGGGCCACCCTCTCTCGACCCGGCTCTATTTAAACCCTCCCCGCACCTCCTCCGTCCGTTTCCGCCTCTCGCCGCCCTTCCTCCTCGCCGGAATCGAGCTCGCGCCGTCGCTCTCTCTCTCTCCGCCGTCGCCGTCGAGCTCCGGTCCGTCGCCGTCGTCGCCCCGGACCACCTCCCACCTCGGCGCCGCCTCCTTCGGCTTCGCCGCATCCTCCACGACCTCGTCCACCCCTCCGTTTCGGTCACCGACCGCCGGAACGCCGTCGACCCCGTCGACCCAAGCCGCGCCGCCGCCTTCCTTCGCTCCGGCCACCTTTTTCGTCGTCGCCGTCGACCTAGGGTGAGTCGTGGACCGCCGCCTATTTTCCCCCTTCCCTTCCCCTCTCTCGGCCGCCGCTCCGCCGTGCCTATGGCCGCCGCCGGCGACCATAGGGGCGCGGGCGCTGCCTCCCGCCGGCTGCGCCGGCTTGGCCGCCCTCGGGCGCGCCGAGTTGCTGCCGCGTGGGGCCCGGCCGTCAGCCGCCCGCGCCCTTAGGTGCGGCTGACGCGTGGGACCCACGGCGTCGGCCGGTGAGCCCGGGTGCACCCAGTCCACCGTGGACCGTGAGGCTGCCGCGTGGGGTGGACCCGGTCCGCGCGCCCCCTCCCCTCGGCTGACGCAATAAACCCTTTTAAAATTAGAGTAAAATCCTTTTCTTTTCCGTTGGTCGTGTAGATGCTGCAGCTTCGGAAGATCCGCTCTTCGTGGAAGTTGAAGCCGACGTTTGGGAAAGCGAGCAAGGCAAGTCACATCATCCTTGAACATATTGAATCCTAGTTTATAAAGTTATTTTGATTTAAATTATTGCATTATCGCTTTATTTAAATTCCCGCGTTATCACTGTTTTATCTAGCCATGCCTATGTACCTTTGTTATGACCTTATTATTGTTATTGTTATTATTACCTTGTTCACCCTAGAATAAACAAAACCCCAACTAGTGGACACTCTACTCATGGTACCACTAGTATGATTTTAGGTAGATGCTTCACTGGTTAATTAGGCAACATTAGGTGGTTTTACAACTCTAGACTTTGGGATATTCATATCACCTGGACACTATGGAATGGTTGGATTATTGTAGAATTGGATTCACACCTCCCCCTCTATTCAAAATCCTCAAAATGGTTTTAGGCTGGGCTCGGGGTGCATGGTTTTGTTAGTAGCACCTCGGCCATATAAGGACCGGTCTTCGGGCCTCTGTTGCAAAGCACTACCGTACTTCCACATGTCTAGTGGGTAAGGCTTAGTTTGTGGCTCAGTCTGGTTATAAACAAAAGTACACGGATGGAGATGGATGAAGTCGGGGGTCGATGGACATCTCTAGGGCAAAGGAAGGCTACACGAGCTGCGGCCCGGTAGTCGAGATGTCATGGCACAGGGCCGGTGTCCTGCTGCTAGGGGCTCAGTCCTGCCTACCTGTCCCGGAGGTTCCGGCCGTAGGTGGGGTTGGGTCGGTACTCTTGTCTATGGCTAGGATGGGTTGGAAACTATGTCACGTCTTCCGTCCGTATACCGTGGTGGTATGTGGCACGTGGTTACACATGAGGAAGATGTGTCTTGTGGGTAAAGATGTACACCTCTGATCAGAGTATAATCTATTCGAATAGCCGCGCCCTCGGTTATGGGCAAGCCGAGCAATGTACCCAAGTTAGTGTTTTAATTCTTAAAACCTGCTTAACAACTAAAATGTGGAATGGTTGGCCTAGGTTGGCTTGGGACGAGCTGGGACCCAGGGTCGGGTTGCCAGTTCGGTCTGAATCATCGTAGGCCTTGGGTTAAGGCAGGTTCGTGTGGGTTCACGGCCTTGTTTAATAATATTGTATAGCTCTAGGATCGTATTTACAAAATAGCTTTGAGCAACTAAATGTCTTTTAATGTTGTTTGCTGCAAACCCTAACCCTTTATATTATAACCCCCTTGTACTCCCTTGCATTTATCCTGCACTTGTGGGTGTGTCTTGTTGAGTACGGTGGTTGTACTCAGTCTTGCTCAATTTTTCCCAAACCCAGAAGAGGAGCCCCTGGATGAGGAAGGCTTTGGTGTCTAGCTCGTGCCTGCCGTCAAGCGCCTGTGGTCGTCGCCCTAGTCTTCCGCTGTTTCCCGTTTGTCTTTGTGTGTGCTGGGCCTTCGCCGCCCATGTAATAAATTAACTATTTACGCTTCCGCTTGTTAAACTCTGAACTGTGTCAACTTTTGGTGTACCTTACCTCCCGGGACAAGGAATAATGCACACACGTAAGGAACGCCCGTTGGGTTAATTCTGGTCGTGACAATGCCCATGCACAAGTGTCACACTTCAGGTTGTGTGCGGCCAAAAATCCTTTCTTATTTGTAAAAATCCTTTAGTCTCTCTCTGTCCTGCTGCTTCATTTATCGTCAAAATCTGATCTTTAAAATGTTGCTTTTCTCTTTTGTTTGAAGATGGCCGGCAGCATCAACCGTCGTGGTCTGGACCTGACCGGCTTCGTTTTGGAGCTGCGGGGCATGTGCGTTGTCTTAGGGTATTCGCATGGAGTGGACTACCAGGGCAAGCAGCTCCCGGAGCAGGAGGGTGACGATGCAGAGCCCCACGCTGCTTGGGAGGTTACTGTAGTGATCCTCACTGGCTCACCCGAGAGGACTTCGTTGGCAGTCACCGTGGGTGGAGATTCTTTCTCCGCCGCTTGCCAGAACGCCGCTCTCCTTGCCATCGGCACTCTTCACCAGCTCTACCCGGACGAGTTGCAGCACTCGCCCTACCGCTACCACCCTCGCCGCGGAGGAGCCCGCGACTACGCCACCTTCCGGGATGCTAGCTCGGAGGATGACGCTACCATCAGGCACCTGGCACGCATGGTGGAGGCGTACGACGCGGCCCGTATCGACTTCCATCAGATGGTGCGTCGCGGGTTGGTCGAGAACAACATGAAGATCCTGGAGCTGCGTCAGGAGAATCTGCAGCTGAAGAAGGACCTAGACGCAGTGGAGGCGCAGCTGCGTCAGCTCAAGATCGCCCAGGGAGAGGTCGGTCGCCCCAAGTGTCGCCGCGTCTGCCGCAGCCTGAAGATCACTGCCCGCAAGAGTACCTCCAGGCCCGAGCTTGTTCGTCAGTCCCTGGCGTGGACCTGCTTCGTCGAGACCCCTTGTGCCGAGCCCGCGCCCGTGGTTCCTCAGGAGGATGGAGCCTCCGGCGTTGGCAGCACGGAGGATGCGCTGCTGCTCACCTTCCGCCCTGGCCCGTCGCAGCAGTAGACGAGCAGTTAGTAGGCTTGCGTGTGTGTTCTTCTCGTTTGTTTTTCTGCTAGAGTCGTATGGGGCATGGTTATGCCGGTGTGTGGTATAACTGTGTCGGAGCCTGTCTTTATTTTATTTGCTTAAGCAACTTGAACTTTAATGG